GCCCGGTTGGACCCGAGGAGTTCTGGAGGACGACCCACCTGCCAGGCTCTTGATGAACTTCTCCTGTCTGTTCTGGTAGAACAAATGAGAACTGAAGATCAGCTCCAGGCTTTTGTTGCTAGCCTCCCGAGCGCACGCCGCCAGCATCTCGTCCAGCAGCACCATCTCCTGGTCGCGGACGCCGCTGACGCTGGCCAGGGTGTGCTTGACCAGCCGCAGGATCTTCCTAAAAACATGGAGGACACGGTCAGAGTCTCCAGCCCTCAGCTCACAGCCAGGTCCTCCACGCCACACATCCTCACCTGTTGGCCACCAGCTGCTCGGGGTTTGGCGGCGTGTTGGCGCCCCCTGCAGGCGGCTCCGGTGGCTGCAGGGAGCGCCACTTGAGCCTGTAGTAAGACAGCAGCAGGAAGAGCGTCTGCGGGTGGCGCTCTCGCTCCAGGTTCTTCTCCAGGCCGGCCAGGCAGGCCTCGGTCAGAGGGTGCTGGCTGCCGGGATGGAGCCGCATGCTGGAGCTGAACACCATGGACACGTCCTTCTGGTTGAACTGGCTCAGCCTGGACTGGGACTCCGCCTCCAGGACGTGGACCACCTTGGCATCGCTCGGTAGTCCTGAGAGGAGCAGGGTGTGTGGTGAGGTGGGGTTCTGGGGGCGGGGCCTGTTAGCGGCAGGCAGGAACTTACCCAGCGAGGCTACGGCGTACAGGCAGTTGACGATGCTGAAGTTGTCGAACTTGGCGCAGTCGCTGACGATGGCGTCACAGAGAGTCTGGAAGTCCGGATGCTCCAGGATCTGCCGCCTGTCGACCTCCGGCGCGTCTCCGTCGGCGGGGGCCCGCGGGGGGGACTGCAGGAGCTGTCCGATCTTCTGAAGGGCCACGGGGTAGTGGTTGTGGGAGATCTTGGAGGGGTTCTGGGTGACCCAGCGCAGAACCTCGTCGGGTTGCCGTGAGCGCTCGATCAGACGCTTCATGGTGAAGAAGGTGTCGTAGCTCATCTTCTCGTGGATAAAGTTCCAGGTCTTCTTCTTTCCGGCGCCGCTGGGCGGGGCTGCCCCCCCATAGGCGTGGATTGACACGTGGGGCTGGTAATGAGGGGGGAAAGGGGGCGGGGCCAGGTGGTGCGAGTGAGGGTGGTAGTGATGGGGAAAGTGAGGCCCTCGATGGGCGTCCGGGCGGCCCTGGTACAGGGGGTAGGTGGGGGGAGGAGGCGGCGGTGGGTGAGGATGGTGGGGGAGGTGAGGGGGAGGAGCCTCCAGCATCGCTAGCCCCGCCCTTCTGCTTTGTTTGAACCCTCCTCCCCCTCCTCCCCCCGCCGTGCCGTAGAGGCGGGTGGCGTACATGGCGATGGAGCGAGGGAGGAGGTGAGCTGGACTCAGGAGGCGCCACCCAGTGGACAGAAACAGCATAGTCCAACAGCCAGACCGCCTGGAGGGGACAGCTCAGCTCTCCTGGAACCAGAGACACAGGTAGACTGAGACCAGAACCAGAACCCAACAGAACCTGAGCAGAACCTGACAGAACCTGACAGAACCTGAACAGAACAGAACCCAAAGGCCAGACCGCCTGGAGGGGACAGCTCAGCTCTCCTGGAACCAGAGACACAGGTAGACTGAGACCAGAACCAGAACCCAACAGAACCTGAGCAGAACCTGACAGAACCTGAACAGAACCAGACAGAACCAAACAGAACAGAACCCAAAGGCCAGACCGCCTGGAGGGGACAGCTCAGCTCTCCTGGAACCAGAGACACAGGTAGACTGAGACCCGAACCAGAACCCAACAGAACCTGAGCAGAACCTGACAGAACCTGAACAGAACCTGACAGAACCTGAACAGAACCAGCTGAACCTGACAGAACCTGAACAGAACCAGACAGAACCAAACAGAACAGAACCCAAAGGCCAGACCGCCTGGAGGGGACAGCTCAGCTCTC